AGATGGTCTTCGTCTACGAGGTGTGGCAACAGTATGTGCGTATTGCATAACATTGCGCACTTAATTAAATATACTCCTAAATGCAATGAATATCCATTTCTCACTAATGCAACTTTTATTTTACAGAGCCAAACCGGAAGTGTATTGTAGCGTCATAATGTAATTGCAGTACGCTTGACAGTAGTGAGCTTTGGGCTAACAACAATGAAGAGGGGTAGCAATATAAACCGTGTTAAAGTACTTTCCTAAGCTTCTACAAGGTAGGTTGAATACGTGCAGATACACGAGCGACATGTGAAGGTATTTTGTGGTAATTGGTGTGCAGTGCGGTTTGCTTATGAGCTGGGTTAGCTGGCAGTGTTTGAACAGAAGGAGCTAAAGCTAATCAAGTAGTTAGCCCAACAATGCCTTCGTGTCAGTAGAGTGCTTTTTTTTTTTTTTTACGTGTCATGTTTTGTGTTAATGTTCGAGATTATATTTAACGTTACAGGCAATGTTACTGATCAAATTTAAGCTGTTTTTTTAAAAGAATGTTGAGGAAGCAAATAAGCACTTTGTGTGCTTTTATTTTGTAGGTATACTTTCTAGGTTAAGGTCTTAAACATGCATACATGCACTTTGGGTGGCTGGCATAGGCATGCTGGTTAAATGGTTGGATTAATGTGAGCAGAAATTGCATTGCAGGTAAATGGCTAGCTGCACCATCATCTCCTTTGTCATACCGAATTGAACTGATCAATAAAACCTCTGTGTCACAATGTGTGGCTCTTTATGAGGGGTAATCTTTGTTTGACACAACTATTGGTAACGAGGAAACAAGTGCACGTGTAATTCAATCTGCTCTAAATATTGGATTAAAACGTTATCATTGAAATAGTATCACCTACAGCATAGCAGTCACGATGACTTGCACCCTATGGGAATCTATAAATTCTGTTGGACCCAGTTTTTGGTGCTCACTTCAGCTCTTTGCTTTGTATTGGTAAGCAGGAATCCGGCTATTCTGGAGCTACATATAGTTTTACAGTAAAATGTGTGCTTTATATATGACAAAAAACAAATATCTCTTTAACTATTATGTCCTTTTGCTTTCTTTAGGTTGAAACTTCCCCCCCCCATTACAACTTGATGCAGAGACAGCTTATTTTGCTAGCTCACAAGACTGTCCGTGCAGGCCTACGACCTCTTGGAACACTTGCCAGGTGTGAGCAGCTTTGCAAAGTGTGTGGAGCACTTTCTGTCTCTACACGCTTTAAACGTCTACCTCCAGCTCTTGACGCTTTGAGCTTTTCCCAACGAATCCATCGTTTCTCCTCGGTATTCCATAAACACAGGCTCCTCCAAAACGTCCCTCCCCGTCTTTCTTCACGCCAGTGTTTCTCCGACGAGCCCGATATGTCCGAACAGAGGTTCATCGTGGAGTACGCCAAACGCGGCACTGCAGGATGTAAAAAGTGCAAAGACAAAATCCAGAAGGAGGTAGTGCGCATAGGGAAGATTGTGCCAAACCCTTTCAGCGAGTCTGCAGGGGAGATGAAGGAGTGGTACCATGTGAAGTGTATATTCGAGAAGCTGGAAAGGGCCAGGGCCACCACCAAGAAGATTGAGGACATCACAGATCTGGAGGGCTGGGAGGAGCTGGAGGACGAAGACAAGAAGCTCATTAATAAACATGTTTCAGGTACAACAGGCTCACACATCCATTCAAAACTCATTCAGCGTTTTTTTTCACTTTTATACTGAGAACTTGAATTGGGAAGGTGTGGTCTCTCATGTCAGAGGGTTCTTCATTTGTCCTGAAGCCATTTATTTGTCTTGTTTTGTAGACCTGATGGCAAAAGTCAATGCAAGTCCGAAGAAGAAGGTTCAGGCCAAGTTGAACACCACCGCCCAGCTAATGGCTCCTCCCCCCGACCCATCCGTCAACGCGCCGCGCAAGTTCTCAGGCTTCACCGGTAAGATCTCACTTCTCATGTCATGTGGTTTCTTATTTGCTCTAAAGCCGCTCACAAGAGAGGAACGACCACAACAAAAGTCATGGAAGCGAGAATACAAAAGTGGATGGTTTTCTAATTCAGAGACAAAAAGGAAGGTCTGAAAGGGTCGGAACAATATATTCCACTTCCCATCTTTCCTGTGATTTTTGGAAACCTACATGTCAAATTCCGTATAGTGAAGATGGTCAAAGCATAGTTTAGTAGGAAAAGTCAACAAGCGTATCCATTACACCCAGTCTGGACTGTAGCAATAAACAGGTGGAAGTCATACTATATTTAGAATTCCTGGGGCAATGAAAGGCATCAGTAATAAACTCACATTTAAAAAAAGAAAAGGAAAAACAGGAGTATAAATGATGGAAAACACAGATTTGTATGCAGCCTGAGAGCCATAACTAGGACGAGTCCCCAGCGTCGGATGAATATGCATATGTGTATTTTGGAAGCACTTTCAAACAGTAATGTAACTGTCATTTTGTGGTTGTATTTTTGAAAATTGTTACCATTCAGCCAAAGTACAGGAGCATCCATTTCTCAGAAACCAAGCCAACCCCTTTAAGAGTGGTCAGTAAATTCAAAAACTAACAGATACAACAGATTTAAACCGTTCAGAATCAGAATCAGGATAATGTGACCTTGACTTTTTGTTCCACTGTGAATTCAAGCAGAAGCACTTGTTTCGTCAAATTGGTCTCATGACTTTTTCAACTTCACTGTCCTGTCAGCTACAAAGGCCGGCAGCTCGAGCTCCAGCAGCCCGGGGCCCTCCTCTTCCCCTGCCAAAGGCAGTGCCCTGTCCGCCCAGCTTTGTGACCCCCAGCACAAGGACTGCCTCTTGCGAGAGTTTCGCAAGCTCTGTGCCATGGTGGCAGAAAACGCCAGCTACAATGTCAAGACACAGATTATTGAAAAGTTCCTCAGGAAGGGCTCTGGTGGAGGTTGGTGTGTTTTTCTGTTTATATCCTGTTTTTGGGCTTAAGCTGTTTTCAT